CCCCAAAACCCCAAAACCCCAAGAGTAAACATTATAAGTAAATTAAGAAATTAAAAGAAACAAATTAATGTGCTTATTCAAAAATAAATATTAGAAAATTTGATATAAAGCTAAATAATCAGAATTGTGAAGCAATGGGATTAAAAACTCAGATTTTATTCTTATTTCTAATTTTAATTACATTTTCCTTGATTTCATCTACCATCTGCTTGACTGACCGCTTATTAATCTTATTTTCCATAATCTTATTTTCCATCTAGGTTATCTGCTCAGGATTATTGAATGTTTTCTTGCATTATTAAGAGAGTTAATCAGGATTGAGATACCACTTAGAAAAAATAAGCTTTGACTTGTTAATCGGTTCAAGTAAACTAACAGTTTTCAGAGCAGTTTTAATCGATGTTTTCAAAAGATTATGATCCATCTGTGATTTATATCTCATGGGACTGCTCTAAAGAAACTTAAAATGAGGAGAATTATTTGCAGTCCTTGATAATTTAGAATGATCAATTATTGAAGTATTGGGCTTAGAACGAATTATTGACAAACTGTGAAATGCTTGGGTATTCTATTTTAGGATTGGCTCATTATTGTGACTCGGACTAAATATATTAAGATTTGCAACTGTCTATTTGGTTTTTGGTGATATCTTAACTCTAAAACTATCGAGTTTTAACTGTCTAGTTTATACACTTAGCTAATTCTTGAATCTTTGAATATTTTGTTTAAATTTAGATGCTTGCATTCTTGATTGCTCTGAAGAGGCTGGAGTTATATCACTACTAATTATAGAATTTATGGATTCCCTCCTGTTTTCTTATTATTTCTTCATTGGTTTCATTTCCTCATAGTTTTCATCCCCTGAATATTCTTCATCCTCCTCCTCTTGAATTAACTTTGTCGCTTCTTCAAAATTATTAATTTAGGATTTTACTTTTTTCTTCACTTTCTAGTTACGCAATAGCTTGCTATGATTTTATTATCCAAGATTGATGCTGAATCTATTTTATTTGATTATTAAGGTACCTCTTCTATTTAAGGTTACCTAATTGTGGATAAAAGATTAGGGTAAATTAGATCGTTTTGGACTTGCAGTGTTATTGTCTCCATCGAAGTAGAGACTGCCAATTTTCGGTGTGGCCTTCAGAAACTGATTAAATATTTTTTCCTAATTCATTTGCTATTTCAACTGCACTTCTTTCATCTCCACCTCGTCTCCCATTACCTCAACTTTTACACCAGTAATATTTGTCTTCTCATCATTGAATTTATAAGAAAACACTAATGGTCTAATATTCTATTCTTCTCTAAATCTATCCTCCCTTTTTATTTTTTCTACTTGGGGATTATATAGAACTTGTAAAGGTATATTAGACTCTTTGACTTTCATTCTACGCATAGGTTACTCCAAATCATTAAAGTAACTGTATTCTGCATCGTTCCTGAATTTTATAATAGAATCTAGTTTGTCATACTTGATCTGATCTTAAGCTTTTATCTTAATGAAATCATCTTCGAAATACTCCACTTCATTGTACATATTATATTTACTCTCTGTATCATACAATTGTTAAGACTCAATAACTTTCTCAAAAGAGCCTTAGATTAAAGTCTCTATTGCTTGGGGCTAATCTCCTTAATCAAGCTCTTTTTCCACCTGGCCTTGCAACTCTAAATCAATGTCCAGCATTTTAGTTTCGTTCTAAGTCTCAATTATTCGCTTTCTCTGAGTGGAATGAGTTGAGTGAATATTCGAGTTTCAAAGTCTGTCTAAGTGAAAAGGTATTTTTTCTTTTCTTAGAAATACCCAAGGAACATTTCCATAATGATTCTGTTAAAAGTTGGTTGGAGATTAGGGCTATGTTTTGGAACTTGATTTGTAGGTTTATTATGATACACCTCTATGAGCCATAGCTGATGAAGCATAATGTGGTGGATTATATGAATGAGTTCTGAAATTAGGACTATTAGATGAATATATTGTTGTAGTGTTCAATCTTGGAAAATTTTCATTGTTTATTGAAGGTGTTTTCTCGCCCATTCTTGATTTTATTTATCCTACAACTTAAATTCCACCTAAATAACATCCTTTGGGGTTTTGGGGTTTTGGGGTTTTGGGG